CTGCACGATAGCGTGTAAGGAGACTTTGAACTCCACATGCTGTGATCCGATTGGCTACAAAGTACTTTATGCAGATCAACATGTCCACCCTGCGCATCTTCCTCTTTCTCATCTCTCCTCTCTTCTATCCCACATCATCACTCTCTTCCCCGCCTATGTGCAACTATAAATCTTTCAAGCGTATCACTTGTAAGCTCTCGCAATAAATGGGCAAATTTGTTGGACTGGTGGCTATATGAGGTAGTGATCAGTGAGTCGAAAAGTCCTAACGAGTCGGCTGCAACTTTGTGGATTGAGCGTTGGATCACTGTGACGAGATGAAGGATTCGAGCGAATCTGCGTAGTAGTTGAGTGAACGGGGTGATGATCGTTGGGGTTTAACGCTTGGTATATGGCGGGCGGGATCGTCAGTGCTGAAGCGAGGTGAGATGTGTTGATGGTTGGTTGGATGGTCTGGGGCCATAGCTCGAGATAAAAAGTTTTTGTGCATTATCCTTTTCTTCTTTTTATATTGGGAGTTGTGTTGCATGGCGAGAGACCAATTATCCTTCTCGTTTTGAGCGAGTTTATATTATCTTCTTGCCCTCCCGTTTTCATGATCTCGCTGGGTGTGGATCTTCAAAGCGCGAGAGTCGACGAAGGTTGTTTTGTGAAACGAATGTCTTCTCAATGTGTGTATGATCTCTCTCTCTCTCTCTCGGATCTTGACAGGGTTGATTTGCTGATGGTCAATGAATGGATGGATGCCGCTCCTTTTTGTTTTCTCCCTAGCTATAAATTTTGTTAGAAACATCCTCCCCGCTAGCAATCCACAAAGCTGATTCGCCTCCTGATACACCCTTCCACTTCCAAGAAAAGTGTAACGAGGAGATTGACTGTGCCCCACTGATCGTGAACGTGAAGTCCTCCAGTTGGTTAACATTCTTGCCTTCGCTTCATTTTCATCTTCATTTTGAATGAATGTCCCCTCTACATGATTTGAAGTATGACCTGTTTGTGGACGTGATTGTAAAGTTTTGGAATGGGCACCTCTTAAAAAGTTGCTCAACTCGTTAAAATCTTTGTTTTTTTTGTTGCTTTGAGAGGCAATGCCCATCACATGCACCGTTCTGGGTATTTTTGTTGTCGTCACTCGAAACTTATCCTCGTTTTTGCCCCTTTCTTAAGAACCCGTGATTGCCAACTTGGAAACTCATCCATTAGTTTCCTGGGTAATCCCCCTTCGCGTAGGAGCAGTAGGCGTGGAAGTCTCATTGTAATCCATGATTTCCTCTACAAAGGCGAATCCCGAAGTTGATGGGGTTTGATTGTCATGTTTTGTGAGCGGTGGATGCGTGTGTATAGGCCATGTCGACTAAGCCAGCGGAGCCATTGGGGCGCTGACTCCTCGAACATCTCCGCCCATTCCCGTAAAACAAGGATAGGACACATGTTTGCGAGTAATGAACGAGAAGTCGTAGCCAAGATTGGTGGCTCTTATCATTTCCCTTCCTAAACACAGTGTTTTGGATTTGTTAATTGGGGTTTTGCGATTATTGATACTCTTTTCCCTCCATACTCTGCCTTGCTTCCTTTCAACGAGGTGATTGCCATCCCATGGCCGACAATTGTTCCCCACTGACCTCGCACGTTGTGCAGCGATTGTCGCTGCACGGAGCACGTTCAAGCGCAAGGGTTCAACTATCGGACACGTGGCGAAGAGAAGTTCAAGGAGAAATCAATAAGCCTGCAACGCTCTGATTCGGATTTTGAGCTCTGCAAAAAGCGTCGTTGGTCCCTCGTCTGAATCCGAGATCCCGCTTGCGTTCCCTCTCCCTTTCGGCTAGGAAAAAAGCGTGGCGCTGAAAGGCTAGGAAAAAACGTGGCGCTGCACGCGATAAAGTTTAAAGATGCTTTTTGGATTACATAGTCATTCAGGAAGGGCTCGTTTCTGCGTTTCCCGCTTTCCTCGTCGCTCCATATATGGGACCACATGGGAGATTTCAGTTTTGTCTGTGTCTCCGTACTCAATTTCCCAAAAAACCTCGGCACACCCCATTTTTGCGCTTTTCAGGCCCCTTTCCATGCTCTAGTCACTCCGACGGGAAAGCTGTGCAGGGCGTGAGGTTTGAGCGTCACAAATCCCCTCCGACAGATGGCAATCTATGCTGTCGTCCTTTGTATCGCGTTACGCCGGTCTGTTGAAAGGGACTCTGGACCCGTGTTCCAGCAGGTGTAGCTCCCCACCAATAGACTGGAGTGATCCTAAATGAGCGAGATCCTTCTCTTGGAGGCTGCTCTTGTCACCTTACCTCCCCCCCAAAAAACAAGTCTATGGGCCCTGCTCCACTATTCACCACATGCACAAAAGACAAAAGATGTGGCACTGTATCATCCCATATGTTCTAGCCAAAGATCCCTTCTCATTTCGCTCATTTGGTGAGCAGGGGAGCGAGAGCCCCTATATACAACAGCTGGCCAAGAGCAACCTTGGTGAATATACAGATGGACATGATGACTTCACACGCCACCACTCACCAGATTTGAAAAACAAAAGAAAAAAAAAAGAAAAAAAAAGACGAAAGCTATAGTGCGTGCGTCTTTCCACGTTTTACAGGAAAGATATACGCTCCATTTTGCACATCTGGTGGGCTGTGCGGCGAGGCCCGAAGGATTTGATTCGAATCCTGCCGAATCAGATGCGTAGGATCCATTGGAGGGCAAAATGATTAATATGATATGAGGGGCTACCCAATGTGAAAAAGAATCCTGTTCTAGAAGGAAGTTCATTCTCATTTTGCACATTTCGAGAAAAGGCCACGGTTGTCAGATTAGACACAAGATTGAATTTACCTGGGCTGGTTAGTCCGATGATAATACCTCAAGGCCATCGCCCTTTTAAAAAAAAAAAAAAAAAAAAAAAAAAAAAAAAAAAAAAAAAAAAAAAAAAAAAAAAAAAAAAAAAAAAATCGTATAATAGGCCTGTGTAGTGATCGAGTCGTGACTCTTTTTTCTTTTTTTTTTTTAAACAGCTCGAGGTGGTGATAGTGGTGCTGATAAGAGCAGACACCACTATCACTCTCGAGAAGGCTCCATCTATTGGTGGGGAGCAACACCTGGTGGAAAGCGGGTCCAGCGTCCCTGAACAACATGCTTACTTGTTCATACAGACATCTGAATATTGCGACTGGTAGCTGCGTGGTTGAGTAGTGACTCTTAGGTAGGATTGAAGTAGTACAGAGGTACAGACGCTCACAGCTAGCAGCTAGTTTCTGGTTGGCTAAGATTTCTTCTGATGATGATTTTTTTTTTAATGAGTAAAGTATGGAATAAGATCAATTCTTACCACCGCCAGGATAGAGGGATATCGCAAGGGCCATTCTAAAAAATAAATAAATAAATAAATAAATAAATAAAAATCAATTCTGAAGCACTGGGTCCCATCCAAGGTCCTGTAACTGTAAAAAGCGAAGCAGGGGCCAAGGGAGAGGTCCCATCAGCAAAGAGGATTGGATTCAGCTCTCCGGGGCTAGGTCCCACCTGCACGAATTAAGCGATATTGACCGTAGATAGCAAAGATCGACGGCCAGAATCTCTTAATCCGTGCAAGTGGGACCTTGCCCCCCGAGTCTGGACGTGTTTTAGGCAGATATGCAGAAAAAAAAGCAGCTGAGTCGCGGATTTTTGACCCTTCCCCCCCCCTCCCCCCCCCCAATTCAGGCGTTCAATCCAATCCTCTTTGCTAGTGGGACCTCGCCCTATGTCCCACTACAGTAGCAGATCCCATCCTCTTTGCTACCTGTGGAACCTCGCCCTAAGTCCCATTATCCGGGGTTGAGTCCTCCTTGTGACCATTTTTCAACGTGGCACATTGCGGCCGTGAGATGTTCCGATCAGCTGGCAGGAACCCCTGTGCCCACTACCGGTAGCGGGACTCAGCCCTGGGACCGCATGTCTAGACCCGAGAGGCCTGCTGCTCATGTCTCGCTAGACCATACTCCTGCCCCAGTAGAATGCAAGTTCCGCATCTCCCTTTACTTTACTCAGTGTTCACGCCAATGATTGATTGAGTGGTTTTCTGAAGGAGAAGTACAGGTCAGATAGCCAGTTTTTCATATTAGTCAACCTGCTCAGCAGGTTCGAAGGACTGCTGTCTACCTAGTGAAGGTAGGTAAAGTGGTAACATTTTGAAGTACTGAGTGGCTAGGCTCAAGTATTAGGCAGAGAACTGTGTAGGAGTTGGAAAGTTGGTAGAATCGACTTCCTGCAGGTGCAAACCTGTAAGCTAAGCTGGCTGATGCTGTCAGTACATACGGGTAGAATTGTGAGGTCCCCGGCCTCTGTTTAAAGGATTTATAAGGAATTAAGTTTCGTTTTCAAAAAAAAAAAAAAAAAAAAAAAAAGCAGCATGTTATTTATTTATTTTATTTATTTATTTATTTTTAATTAATTTGGACCATTTCTCGATTTATGCGTTTCATCCTTGCGCAGGGGCCATTTGCTAATTTACCCTTCTCTGTATCGTTCCAATTTTTAACGGATGTCCCGAAGGACGATTTGGACGATTTCTCGTCTCGATTTATGCATCGTGTCATCCTTTGCGCAGGGTCCATGCTGCTAATCTTCTTTCTCTGTCTCGTTCCAATTTTAGCGCATGTCCCCGAAGTATCGTCCCAATTTTACCGCATGTCCCCGAAGGACTAGAATGCATGTTCGTTATGTTTTTTTTAAATGCATGTTCGTTAGGCCAGAATCTCTTAATCCGTGCAAGTGGGACCTTGCCCCGGGGGAAAACAGTGGACGGCACAACAGGTCCCGCATCTATGCGTAGGCATAACACCACACCGCGCCAAAATCTCACGTGCAGATGCAGACTCACAATAGTCCCAAATCGAAATCGAAATCCCCGGCCAGCGTCAGCGCCACCGCAGTGCCCGACGCCTGCCCCGCCCTATGCCAATCCCGCCCTTGCTCTTGCTCTTGCTCTTATACTAAGGGTGTGGTCCCGTCTACGTGACCGGTGACGCGGTAGTATCTGAGTGACGTGGCAGCTTCTTTGCAGGGTGGGGAAGTGACACGTGGCGGGGAGGCATGGGGCCTCGCAAGGTGCTCATTGCCATAGATCATAGCGCAGAGAGCGCTTACGCCGTGCGATGGAGTCTAGCGCATTGTCTTCTACAGAGCGACGAGGTTATCGTCCTTCACGTCAGAGCGCCGACTTCCGTCTTCGACCGCTACGCTGAGGAGGAAGCAGATGAAGGCGATGGCGGGAAGGAGTTGGAAACGCATCCACCCTCGAGGGGGGAGGATGACCACATGACAACCCAGGGTGAGTACTTATAACTGTGTAGGTTTTTTTTTTTTTTTTTTTTTTTTGGAGTATTTCTGTTTAGTTATTCCGGCTTCCCCATCTTTTTTTCTCTCTGTTTCTTTTTCCATCACATTGTTTAACGGAGAAACCCTTACGTTGCCGCATGCATGCGTCGATGTCATTTGGAATGACTGGGGATATAGGGGGGAGGGGAGGGGAGGGGGGGGAGGAGCCCGGGGGAGGGTGGAAGAAGGCTACGAGAAGACGATGCCGATGATGACGACACCGAAGAAGGAGGAGGAGGAGGAGGAGGAGGAGGAGGAGGAGAAGAAGAAGAAGAAGAAGAAGAAGAAGAAGAAGAAGAAGAAGAGTGAAAACATGGGCCAACTGCGTTTCGTACACGCTTGACAAGTTGTTCAATGCAAAGCTTCGCCGCGCATATACTAGCATAGTCTCAGCTACGCGCAGGTTCCCTGACGCGCGTTTCGATCGGCTGCCCTCCGGTCATCTTCAGGGGGCTTCCCCCACAACCATGCCTTGCAGCCCACCGACTGTCCTCCCAAGGAAAGAGAAGAGCAAGAGCAAGGGCGGGGCGGGGGGGGGGGAAGAGAGGAGGAGGAGAAAGAACAGGACGGGGGGGGAGAGACGATGAAGGAGAAAAGAACAGGACGTAGCGGAAGTTTTGAATTGCAATGATAAAGATACGTACGGGTGATCCACTGCCGGGGGGGGAGGGAGGAGAGAGAGGAGAAGAGAGAGAGGAGGAGGAGGAGGAGGAGGAGGAGGAGGAGGAGGAGGAAGAGAAGAAGAATGATAGTAGGAGGGTAGTGAATGGTTGACTTGAGGAGTGGGGAAATGATCGGGGGAAGAAGAAAAAGGAGGAGGAGGAGGAGGAGGAGGAGGAGAAAAGGAGCTGTGATCGAAGGAGTGGGGAGGAGGTGAGGGAGGAGAAGTGCAAGTAATGGAGGACAATAAGAAGAAGAGGTGATGGTATTCTCGTATAGAAAGGAGCAAGAGAAAGGGGAGGGAGGTGATATTGAGAAGAAGGAAGGTGATGGGGGCGTGACATCATGCACACACGACGGAAAAGCTTTGCGGAAATGTCACTCGCCGGAGAGGTTTAGTGAACGAATCTGACGGTAGTTCGGTGATCTTCGGTCAAGATAGATCCCGTTCGATAACGGTCACATGTGATAACGGCGGCCGGTTATGGGTCCGATAACGGTGTGTGTGTGCGATAACGGCGAGCCTGTGTGATAATGGTGTGTGAGATAACGGCGGCCCGCGTGGTAACGATGTGTGCGACAGTGGCGGCGTATGCGATAACGGCGCTGAGTGAGAAGAAGGGTTTATTAGGAAATTACAGTAATTACGGCACTTGCACCTGCGCATGGGGAGGGCTGCCGCGCGCACTCATGCATTTTGTCCATGTGCAGTGAATCTTTGGCACACATGCAGTGCATGTCTGTCCATGTGCAGTGCATCTTTGTCCATGTGCAGTGCATCTGTGTCCATGTGGAATGGATCTTTGTCCATGTGCCGTGCATCTCTTTGTCACACGTGAAGTTCATCTTTGTCCACGTGCAGTGCATGTTTGTCCATGTGTGTGCAATGCATCTTTGTCCATGTTTGTGCAGTGCATCTTTGTCCACGTGCAGTGCATCTTTGTCCACGTGCAGTGCATCTTTGTCCACGTGCAGTGCATCTTTGTTCACGTGCGGTGCATCTTTGTCCACGTGCAGTGCATCTTTGTGTTTGATAGGTTAGGGCTCTTCGTGCTCGTCGGTCGGCTTTTGTGTTTGTCGTCTTCTGCTTTGTGCCTTCGTCCGTTCTTCGTTTTTGATTTGTTTCCCTGACGCTGTATCTAGACTGAAAAGTGGTAAAAATACAGCTGTAATGACCGTGCGTTCTATTCGGGTGACGACGGTAGTTCAGGAGCTTCTTTTTCTTTGTTGATTTTGACGACTCGTTGGGAGGGTGTTCCGTCGTATTTTCAGCGGTACACACGGTCATTACAGCTGTATTTTCGCCTATTGTAAGTCCAGATACAGCGGTATGTGTATATAGACAGACATAAACATGTACACACGTATACACCCTGTACGCACCCGTAGTACAGGTGCACGGACAATAAATGCGCACGACGATTGCACACACCACACGCAAAGATGCGTGGTGTGTGTGTGTGTGTGTGTGTGTGTGAGAGAGAGAGAGAGAGAGAGAGAGAGAGAGAGAGAGAGAGAGAGAGAGAGAGAGAGAACACTTGCAATATTGGACAACACGTGCGAGGCTTTACTTTCACAGTATACAAGCCCTGTCCATGGCATGCGACAATCCACTTGCCGCGACTACCCTTCTGCGAGAGAGAGAGAGAGAGAGAGCATAGTAATTACTATGTGTGTTGATTTTAGCGATACACACGAATTGAGGATCATGATCAAATGGATGAATGTGAGCGTTAAGTGTGGTCGAATGCATTCCTTGGTTGTGCGTCGGCCCCCTTAGGTGTGAGCGCAAAAAAGACGACCTTACACCGGATGCACTGGACGTGGACAAAGATGCATGTGGACGTGCACTGCACGTGGACATGCACTGTGCGTAGAGAGAGATGCACTCCACGTCCAGTGCATCTTTGTGAAGAAACGGCAAAAAAAGGACCTTACACCAGAATCGAGGGCCCCTGTCCTTGGGGACAATGGGAACGATACAGAGAAGGTTAGCACGCATAAATCGAGAAATGGTCCAAATGAAAAAATGAAAAACAAGAAAAAAAAAAAAAAGATTACTTCTCTGTATCATTTTTTTTTTTTTGAACTTTTCACCAACTCAAATACAAGGCATATGCGTTATGTTCGGGGGAGGAGCCCGGGTAGCCGGATCTCTATTTTATAGCAGTTACACAACAACGATGATTACTTTGGCTCTGTTGGAAACCACTTGTGAGTGAGCTAAGTCACTCATTCGGTAGGTAGTTGTTTTTTTTTCTTCTTTTTCATTAGTATTTCATTCATTCCCTTTTTTTTTTTTCCTTGGCCCGTGCCGGTTCGTTTTGCTTTGGCGCGCACAGGGCGCTTCCAGCCTTGGAGAAAAGTGCTTAGGAAGAAGTACTGGTGGTTAAACGGATGCAGGTTCTTCTCTCTCTCTCTCTCTCTCTTAAAGCAAGCTAACATTCAGTGTCTCATTCCTTGTGGCCATTTCACACAAAGTACTCCCCCGCCCAAGCAGCTTTTTTTTCTGCCGTGACAAAAGCTGCATGGGCTATTCGAATAGAACGTTTAGGTTCAAGCTTTCTGTGACATTTCACACAAAAGTACGTCCTCCGCCCAGCAAGGTGCCATCAATGCAGTGGTGGGCATTTTTAAACACAAAAGTACCTCCTCCGCCCAGCAAGGTGCCCTCAATGCAGTGGTGGGCATTTTTTCACACAAAAGTACCTCCTCCGCCCAGCAAGGTGCCATCCATGCAGGACGTTCGGGTTCAGGAGAGAAAGTTTAGATTCAAAAAACTTTTCTGTGACACTTCAGTGATGTGGCTTTTGTCGTGGAAGAAGCTGTGCTTGGGCGGGGGGAGTGTGCTTTGTGTGAAATTGGCACAAGAAATTGGGAGTTTGGATGTAGCTTGTTTTTTTTGTAGAAAAGGAAGTAAAACAGGAATGGGAACCCTGAAACGTTTCTACTCCAAAAAAAAAAAAAAAAAAAAAAAAAGGAATGGGAACCCTGCTTTCGGTGAAACCACCAGTACTTGGCCCCAGCTATTGTTGGCGGTGGAAAAACATGGAGGAGTAGAAACGTTTCTACTAGTACTCGGATGAATTTGGGCGCTCCTGTAGTGGCCCGTACATTTCCTAAAACCGTGGCTGGCTTGTTAACGGGCACGACGTTAGGAAGTACAGTGCTGATTTAAACCACAAGTTTGAGTTTTATTTTTTTTGTGAACTTGGGAGTCGCGGATACCACTCAGGGAGGTGATAAGAGCAGCCTCCCTAAGTGAGTCCCCAGTTGAAGGCTCCATCTATTGGTGGGAAGCTGCACCTGGTCTGGAAACCGGGTCAAGTTCAAGTTCACGCCAAGCCCAAGTAGACGAACGAAGCTGCTAGCTTCCAACGCTGCTACTGCCTGCGCGTTTTTTTTTTTTTTTTTCATTCCAAACTCCTGCGCGTTTTCAAAGTGGCTTGCTGCATTTACTTTTTTTTTTTTTTTTTTTTTTTTTTTCGAAGTGGCTTGCTGCATTTACTACAGGCCCAGCCCCAGCCCCATGCCAGGCCATGTGATCTGGGACGGCGTATCAGTTGGTAGGTTCCTATCATGAACTGACGGTTTAAGCGTGTTTGCAGCTATTTCGAAGTTACCCCCTTTAATATTTGCAGCTATTTTAAATTTACCCCCTTCAATGTTTGCGGCTATTTCAAATTTACCCCCTTTAATTTACCCAAGGAAAGGAAACTAATGACTTTTGGATCTGATCTTTATTTTTAAATTGACCCCATGAACTCTCCAAATACAGACCCGAGTTCGACTCCAGGTCTACCGTCTTCCCCCGAACATAACGCACCCTAAAAATGAATGTCTACAAGCTATATTTCCGGCCAGATACATTCAAAATAAGGGTGCGTTGTGTTCGGGGGAAGACGGTAGTCAGATGAACAGAGAATAAAACGATTCTGAACTACCAACGTGGGGCTGGTCAGTCCACTGATATGATATTTATAGGCCGTCACCCTTTTTTTTTTTTGGACTTATTTCTTTTTTCAAATTTGCCGAAGACACAAGATAACAATGATGTGTGTGATGATGATGATGATGATGATGATGATGGCGTGGCAACGTTAACAGCCGTGGGACTTTTCTTCCTTTCTTGTTTGGAAGGCACACGCTGGGGGGGGGGGGGTACCCGCACTACTGTCTTCACCCGAATAGAACGCCCGGTAATTATCGCCGTATCTGGGCTGAAAGTTGTGCCAAATACAGCTATAATGATGTCCGGGCGTTCTATTCGGGTGAAGACGGTAGCGCTATCATAACTGCACGTGACCGCATTTACGGCCGGACCCTGTATGCATCTGCCCTGAATTCCGTCCAGAGGGAAAAAAAAAAAAAAACGTGCTACGTCGTGTGAGTTATATGCCCTCCATGGCTTCAAATGATCCCTCCCACCTCACTGAAAGAAACAGCGGTTTGGACGAACTGTTTTTCCACTTTTTTTTTGTTTTTTTTTGCAGAAAAAATCAGGAAGGCCTCGCAGACCTACCAGGAGATCAGTGAGCTGGAGACCCACCGGTTGGCCCAACCGTTGAAGGACGCGGGGAAAACGTTTTCGATTCGGGTTGTTGCGGACGATAAGCCCAAGGAGCGCATTTGTGCGGAGGTCGATGAGATTGGCGCCGACCTCCTCGTCCTTGGAAACCGCGGGATGGGCTTTATCAAGCGGACCCTTTTGGGAAGCACATGCGATTACTGTCTACAACACTCTCACTGCCCGGTTCTTGTTGTGAAAAGACCTTTAGACTATCATAAAGAGCAGAAGATGGAGAGGGAGAAGGAGGAGGAGGAGAGGGGGAGGGGGAGGGGGAGGGGGGGAGGGGAGAGAGCAGCGTAGGCTGTCCTAACATGCAGAGGAAGAGCGGGGGAAAAAAATCATCAGATGCAGGGGAAGAATATAATGAGAAGGTGGCGGAAAGGTAGAGCAGCACAGGCTGGCTGGCTGGCTGGCTGGTTTTTTTTTTTTTTTTAAGCAGCAGCAGCACAGGCTGTCGTAGTGTTGTCCTCAGGAAGAGTTCATGAAAGTTTTTTTTTCATGAAATAAACGTAGCGAAGTCAGATAATAATAGTTAAAAAAATGAATAAGGCAGAGATGAATCACGTGAACAGAGGTGGTCCCGGGAGGTGGTGGTCCCAGGCATGACAGGCCTTGCATCCTACGTTTGGTGAGGGTGAGCAAGAGAAAAAAATAAGGAGGGAAGAAAACAACAGAAAGAGATGGCGAAGGAAAGGTTCGTCGGGCCTGGAAGGCCATACGCACAGAGGACCCATTGCATGAATGTGACTGCAAATGAAGCCAGGCACATTGCAGGTGGTCGTTGGGAGTGTGTGCCCCTTCCTCTCCCATCCTCTGTTTGGTGCTTGCCCTCTCTGCAAAAAAAAGCAGTATAGCAAATGGACTTGTATGTTGGTCTAAGAAATGCAATTGAGCGATTGGCAGGGAGGGCAAATAAAAATAGCTTTGTGGAAACAGTTCAATTCCGCAAACATCACTGCTGCTGCTGCCAAATGGGAGGAGCAAGTTTAGTAACGTGCCGGGAAATTTTGATATGATACATAAAAAAAGGAATGGTGGAGGAACACACGTAGCATGTACACGTACATGTACACATGCATGCATGCGTGCATGCATGCGGAGGGGAGGAACAGAGAACAGCTTTCTATCTAAGTGCATGTGTGTAAATCGACAAAATGGTGGTGACTAAGGAAGAAGATAATGACACGACGATCAAAATGCATTTGGCTGATATCCTGTACACATGCAGATACCTATGCGTGTATCACAACAGACATGCATACATGTATACATGCATGCATGCATGGATGCATGGTTGTAGGGTTTAAGGTCTACAGGGGAAACAGCAAAAGAGCCTAGTGTGAAAGGGGAGGGGAAGAAAGGAGGAGAAGAAAGGAGGAGAAGAAAGGAGGGGAGGAAGGGAGTGGGAGAGTAGCAGCCACTTGTGTGCTCATTCATGGTGCGGAGGTATCTTTGTAGACTTGGGAAGGTTGTTCTTTGGGTGTAAGAGCTTTGGAGAGGGCTGAAATCTGGCCCATAGGTTTCTTTGTGAGTGCTTGGGAGATCTTTCTTTCTTTGGGTGTAAGAGTTTTCGGGAGGGAGGGGGAGAGTAGCAGCCACTTGTGTGCTCACTCATGGTGTGTAGTTTTTTGTTGTACACTTGGGAAGGTCGTGCTTTGGGTGTAAGAGTTTTGAAAAGGGCTGAAATCTGGCCCATAGGTTTCTTTGTGAGTGCTTGGGAGGTCTTTCTTTCTTTGGGTGTAAGAGTTTTCGGGAAGCGCTATCCTTGCTGCATGCGCAGCTCATGAAAGTCTCAGGATCAGTGGCTGGGGCTCCCTTTGTGAGAATGGAGGTGTGGGTCATCCTAGACGCCAATCAACATCCTAGCATTCAGTGAACATGGCGCTGGGAAGTCTCGGCAGCCTGGTGTAGCTAGGTACCAGCTTGGTACAGCAAGGTGCCATCTTTGCATAGGAAAGTACCCGCTTGGTACAGCACGGTACCAGCTTGGTGCAGCAAGGCATCACGTTGGGACATCAAGGTATCACTTTGCAACAGCAATTTAGCAAGTGGTGCCGCAAGGTATTCATACGGAAAGGTACGAGCTTGGTACGGTATTGATACGGAAAGGTACGAGCTTGGTACGGTATTGACACGGAAAGGTACGAGCTTGGTACGGCAAGGTATGGGTCTAGTAGACAAAGGTGGCAGCTTTGTGCGGCACAGTGCCAGCCTTAGTGTGGGAAGGCATCGGTTTGGAAAGCTAGCATTTTGTTACAACGAAGTAGTTTCAGGGGTCTGTTGCTGCCCATCTTTGTCGAGAAAGGTTGTCGAGAAAGGTAGTGAGGTGCCAGGCCCTGGACTTGGTACACCAAGGAGGATTTAGGATCTGGGACTGCAGTACGGCAAAATACTTTCAGGGGGTCTGCTGCTGCCCCAGCTTGGTGCAGGCACTGAGCAAACAGGTACTACCGGTAGTATTGGTGCATCAAGCTGCCAAGCTTGGTGCAGTGAGGTACCAGGTCCCAGGGTTTGTACAGCAAGGAGGAATCAGCGTCTGGCGCTACAGGACCAGGTCCCAGTAGAGAAAGGCACCGTCTTGGTACAGCAAGAATCCCAGCAGGTGGTCTGGTGGCGCATGGTACAGCAAGGTACCAGCTTGGTTTGTTTGATAAGTTGCCATTGAGCAACCTGGTACTAAGATTGGTGGAACAAGCTGCCGAGGTCGGTGCAGCAATGTACCAGGTGCAGGGGTCGGCACAGCAACGCACCAGGTACAGCGGTTGGTGCAGCAATGAGCAGGTGTTGGTACAGCATCGTAAACGGTACAGACGTTGGCGCAGCAACGTACCAGGCACGGGTTGGCACAGCAACATGCCAAGTGCAGGGACCGGTACAGAGCAATGTACGGGTGTTGGCGCAGCAACGCACCAGGTACAGTTTGGTACCAGGCACGGGGGTTGGTACAGCATCACAGCAAGTATGGGGATTGGTGCAGCAATGTGCAGGTGTTGGTACAGCAGGGCACCAGGTACAGGGGTTGGTACCAGGCACGGGGGTTGGTACAGCATCACAGCAAGTGTGGGGATTGGTGCAGCAATGTGCAGGTGTTGGTACAGCAGCGCACCAGGTACAGGGGTTGGTGCAGTAATCTACCAGGCATGGGGGTTGGCAAAGCAGCACACCACGTAGGGGGGTTGGTACATCAATGTACGGGTGTGTTGATAAAGCAACACGCTGGGTAGTGGGGTTGGTACAGCAGCGCACCAGGCATGCAGATTGGTACAGCAGCAACGTACCAGGTGCGGGGGTTGGTGCACCGACGTATATCAGATGCAGGGGTCGGTACAGCAATGTACCAGGTAGCAGGGCCGTTGTAGCAACGGGGAATCGAAGGCTTGTGTCTTTTTTTGGAGATATTGTTAAATTAGGGTTAGGTACAACACGAAGGCCAAAAAGTTTGGTAGAAGGCGGAGGTGCAACGCTTTGGTACAGTCAGGTGTTCCGAAATGCCGAAAGAGGCGAGTACATATCTTTCGAGGAAGAAACTCTGCTTGTACAAAATTTACGAACTTAGTTTTGCATTGTAAAATGCAAGTATATCTGCGTGGTCCATCGGGATCAAGTGTTGGATGTGTGGATGAGAAGGGGGGGGGGAAACGCCATCACCCGAGCTCGAGGAAAAAACAAGAGGATGGCATGCAATTTTGTGAAGCCATGGTGGAAACGAAACGTCGACTTCAGAAAAATGAACGAGTGCTTTGTTCTTGACCTGGAGTCAACTGCAAGCTGTGATGAATTGCACAGCGTGCGCTCTCGAGTGGATTGGAGAATGTCGCTCGATGGATTAGGAGCGAGCGACGCTCTCGCTCTCACTCTCGCTCTCGAATGGAAGGAATGGAGAATGTGTCTCTCCTTCCCCCCTCCATGTGCACTTCCTCTTCAACTATGAAAGCGGGAGGAGAGAGCGGGCATTGGAAAGGAAACGATGTTTGAGAAGGGGCCTGGAAACGTTGTTCAAGGAGGCCCGGGCGATGATGGCAACGCCTTCGCATTGAATTTACTGCTAGATATGTAATAACTATGCTTTTTTGGGATAATGAAGTCCGACTATGCTGGGGTGTCATGTGCCACAGCTTTCAAGGTTTTTTATAGTTTTTTGGGTCCAACGAGGATTTCAGTTTTCCCCTCTGGGTTTCAACGAAAGTGCTGGCTTTCCGTGTACAGAGTGTGCCCGACAGTCGTGCTCCTAGTTTTTTTCTCTCGTCGATTGCTTGCTTAGAAATCGTGGCTTCAGTGCCTGAGAATCTCTGGTGCCCCTTATTCTTCCCTCCCCCTCCTCCTCCTTCTTCCCCCTCCACTTCCCCTCCACCTTCCTCTCCCTCTCCCCCTCCCTCTCCGCCTCCTTCCTCTTTGCCAGCGTCCTCTTCTTCTTCGTCGCCGTCTTCATGATCTTCTTCTTCTTCTTCTTCTTCTTCTTCTTCTTCTTCTTCTTCTTCTTCATCCGTTTCTTTGTCTTCTTCTTCTTCTTTTTTCTTCTTCTTCTTCTTCTTCTTCTTCTTCTTCTTCTTCTTCTTCTTCATTTGCCCCCCCACGCCGGCTGAGATCGGCCCCTCCTTTGTGTTCGTTGTCTATATTGGGACGTCGGCAGGTTCGTTCATTCTCTCCTCCTCCCAGTCCCCCTTCCTCTCGAAGTCGTGTTGATGTTAATCTGCGGGGTTCTTTGTCTTCCCGACAGCCTTCTCTGCCACGTTGATGGCGTTCGTCATTCATGCGCTGACCCCGCCAGATCACACCTAGCTTTTGAGTGGTGACCGAATCGGATCTGCGGGCAGATCTACCAAATGATTGTGGGTTGACAGCCACAAATGTTTGCTTATAGGCTTAGTCAATGTTATACTGCTTCCCATTTTGTTACCATTGCTTATCAGCTTGACGCTGTTCAAAATCAGTTGTATGACCATAATGGTTCACCTCCTGAAGGTAGTAATTATACTACCTCAGGAGGCCTTACTGTAAATGTCTTACAACTAGCTTTCCACAGTCGCCAACTTCTTATACATCATGCGACGCCAGGCGATGACCTTAATGACCATCCTCATATTTCTGCCTGTATTTTGCACAGACCCGGGCATTATATGGCACTCATTCGTGCAGCTGCCCAGTGGGAACTGTGGGATGGTGGGACAATGATTCAGGCTATTTTCAACATAAATAATTTTTTGTGTGCATTACCGAATCATACTTTATTCTGGATTATTGATCGACTCTCGNCCTCCTCCTTCTTCCCCCCCCCTTCTCCCCCTTCTCTGCCTATCTATGCGAGTGTTCCCCCCCAGCCAAAGCCAATCGGCGCTCTGAAATGTCGACAACAGGCATGTCGCAACTGCACGAAGAACGCAAGTTTCACTTTTTTGCTGAGGAGGCAACTGCGTAGACGACCACGCACCTCAGTAGTATGATGATTTTGGTCCTTTCTAGCGTGCGCGGGACTTCCGGCGAGGCGCCGTGAGCACTGTCTGTGTCTAGTTGTGTTTTTTTAGATATCAAAGGCACTGCAAGTTCTTTTGCAGCAGGTTGACGGTTGGAGTCCTAACTCCGCAACACCAGTCTCCATTGTGCTGTGTGACGTGTTTTGCAAACAGCGCAGCTCTGTGAAAAGTGGACTAGAAAAGAACCACTTGGGGTCGGTCCATTTGTGGGGTGGTTACACCACGCATCGGCCCGCGCGTGTCAGCACGAAACCCGCACTACTTCGGAGGCCGCCAATTTTTATTTTTTCTCAACGGTGCCCCACGCCGCGTGGCCCGGCCGAGTTTTGCTTGTGGCGACAAAAAACTTTCTGCAAGGCTGGGGCCGTGTACTTCCGGCTTAAGCTCCAGGCATGTTGCCATTTGTTGTGCAGAGGAGGGGGGGGGGGGGGGGGAGGGGACAAGTGGTGGGATCCTCTTTTTTTTGTGGGGTCCTTTGTCGGGATGTCCTTTTTCCTTAAAAGACTTGTGATGAATCTGATGATGGTATAATGGGCTGCTGCCAAAGACCCCTCTAACCCCCCTTTCTTGCAGATTCATGGACCGATCAGCTGTGGACCCCTTTTCGAAATGAGCACCTCATGTTTCAAAAGGAGGAAGATGGAAGCACTGAGATGGGGAAGGGTGATGGACGGAGGAAAGACGATTGAATGCGTTTTGAAATCATGGTTGGGTTCAACAGCTGAGGTTTTCTGTCTTTAACGCGATGAATGGAGGGATGGAGTACGCGCGAGGTCATCTGCATATGACCTTGAATATGGCCACATTCATTTTGATCCTTCTGTTTATCCTGGAGGGTAGAGGTTGGAATGGAGAATTTATTTGTTTCTTTCTTTCTTTTAAACTACTTTTTTTTCTAGGCTGCCAGCTGTCCCATGGGGAGACGTCTCCCCCAGACGTCTCCCCCAGACGTCTCCGGGAGACGGTCAGGGGGGAGTTGTCTGGGAAATCGGACAACTGCTTTTTTGCGAGAAAAAAAAACGAAAAAAAAAAAAAAACGGGGGGGGTGTGCGCACCACTAGGGGACCCCCCCAAAAACTTTCCAGGCTGTTCCGAGAAAAACCGAAAAAAAAATCAGATACTGTGGGGAGGTGTGATGGTGGGGTGTTGGGGGGGGTGGATTGCTTGGGGAGTTGAAATGGAGGGCCTGCTGCTGCAGTCAGCAACTGCTGCACATGCAGCGACTGCAGCTGCTTTCGTCTGACGCAGCGTGTGGACCATCCGCTCCGGCAGATGCAGCAGCTGCAGTGACAGCGGCATCTACACACACACACACACACACACACACACACACACACACACACACTCTATTCACACACAAACACAACGAGTGACACGCACGTGAGCACACATACACACAGTCACACACACACTATCTACTCGCACACACACACACTGTCTGCACACACACACACACACACTATGTAGACACACACAGATGCACTGTCTACACACACACACACTGACACTCTTGCACACACACACACACTCAGACTCACACTGGGAAGGAAACAGTAGCAAGGCCAAGTCCAAAGTTGTTCAGTTTATTAACTTTATTTTTCTGCATATAACTGTTTTATCTTTTATTTCAAATCCGATAAAGAATTTCGTTGTAACCCCAAGGCAAAAGTTGTTCAGTTTATTTTTCTGCATAACATAGTTTTGTTTCGGAATTTTTTGAGTTTTTTTTTTTTATAACCATTTGGGCTTCGGACAGACTGCCCGGGGAGGACGTCCGACCAGTTGTCCGATCGGACAACCCCGGACGGTCAGGGGGGTCCCGGACGTCCGATCTGGTAACATAGCTTTCTTTTTTTTTTTTTTTTTTTTTAGTAGGTGTGGTCCCATGGACCATGGATCAGATATTAAACCACAAGTACGTTCCCCTGCTTGCAAAACAATACCCTATTAAAAAAAAAAAAAAAAAAACCAATACCCCGGGGGCCATGTCCCACTTACACCGTTGAGTTGAACTAGCTCAACAGTGTGACTGTGACACAGTTATTACAAATTAAGAATTCAAAATGAGTGCAAGAAAAGAGAATCAAATGCTGCTGAAAGCTTTTTTCCATATTTTCTCAAATGTAAAATGGAGAAAGAAAGTGGTGCAATCTGCTTTTGTCCATATTTTTTAGAAAATAAAAAGGAGAAAACGAATCTCCTCGAGTGAAACTCTCCTGAGTATACGGTACTCTCGGTGCACTGTGTGAAGTAGGAGACAGGACCTCACTACAGCGTGGAACGAATGTGGACGGTCTTCCTGGCTACATGTGCATCCACCACCCAAATAAAAGGAAAGAGTGCCTTCCACCTCTGTCAGAGTACACTCCCTTGTCTGTCGGAGTGTCCTCCCACTAGGAGGTAATGATGGCCCAACGTCCGTTGAGCTATAGCTACCCCGCATCGAGAAAGGTAGTTAGCTCAACGGAAGAGGGCCAGAGTAGGGGGCGTTGTATTCGGGCGGGTTTGGCCATTTTTTCTCCTTCATTTCAAGGACGAAATAAGATTAGCGGCCCTTTCCGATTTCTCAGAAAAATCTGACCGCCCTATGGACGGCGACTGAATATATTCTATCTCATCCTCTTGCTACTCTATGTATAGTATGGGGGAACACCAACCAAACCTGGAGGAACACCAACCAAACCTGGAACTCTCCCCAGCCCACGGGGTAGGTTTGCACCACAGCAGTGGTGCGAGAGCAAGGCTTGTATCAGCGCCTCATCACGATGATGCAGGGTGATCAGGCATTGCCGACGGGGGAAACGGGCGATGATAGTGCTGAGCAGCTTTGGCCAGTCACTTGCACCTCCCCCTACCCCCTCCAACCCCACATTAACGGTGTCTAATGGCGAATATCAATGCTGCATCACTTCCTTTCCTCCGACGACCTGGAGACCGGGCTGAGACGCCCTCATTGAGGGCTCACTCACACTAGCACTTGGGGGAATGTATCCAACCGCATTCATGTCACCTGGGGTGAAGTACCACTGCCCAAGTTGAGTTTTCTCAACGCTGAGCTTTCTATCACGTGTGGCATGGTGGGACGGAGCTCTGCCGTTGATGTATTGGGAATCTAATGGTACCGAAATACAGGAGATAACCTAACCTATTGGATTCTGTCATTTTGTAGATTTTTTTCTTTGATGTGAAATCCGTGTTTTTTTTTTTTTTTTTTCAAGAGGGCGATGGCCTTGAGGTATTATCATCGGACTAACCAGCCCAGGTAAATTCAATCTTGTGTCTAATCTGACAACGGTGGCCTTTTCAGCCCAGGGGCCTCGACCCACTAGCCAAGCGTTACGCTTGGAGGCTGGGCTTTCGATCACGGTGTGGCCCAGGGTGACCCAAAACAGCCGCTGATTGCCCTCCACATCAACTGTGATGATGTTTAGGAGTAGGGCGAGCGGTTTTTCCCTGCTGATGGCCAATAGGAAGTTTTTTTTTTTTTTTTTGGTGTTTTTGTTGGCCACTTTCCGTTGGCGCGAAGCTTCAATAACAACAATTTTTGACCCATGGGGTGATATCCAAGCTTCGCGCCAACGGATTTTCGCTTGGAAAGTCTGAAAAAAATGAGGAATGGAAGTAATAACGGCGTCGTTTTGTGCAGTGCCCAC